TAGTGGGTGGGTGTTCCCCTGGGTGGGGAGACCCTGAGACTGAGGGGTTACTGCCAAGGGGGCAGCACCCCAGAGAAAGGGGCACTGAGTCCTGGGGGAGGACGGGGGGGGACAGCAGTAAGGTGGATCACCAGCCTGCAGAGTGTGCTCCTGGCTGGAAAATGGGCAAATTCCCAAGGATGACCAACAGGAGGTGCTGCAGGGGTGAGTCCACCCCCTTACAGTCCCATTTGCTTTTTTCTTATGTTCCTAGACAAGCAGTTCTCTTCCGCCCCCCATCACAGGGTAACGTTAAAACATAAGACAGCTTTATTTACAAACAGCAGCAAAGGGACCAAGACAACATACGGAAAAACATGGGTTAAAAAAAGGAACATCCCTAAAAACAACACTGGGCCAAATCCTGGGCCTTAGGTTGTTCACAGTGCTCCACCCTGCAACCCACTGGAAACCTTCCCATAACCTTCGAAGGGGATGGAGATGGAACACTCCCACCAGAAACTGAGCTGGTCAAAGTGTTTCAAATTTTGAAACCTTGACCAAAAAAAAATTTGTCAAAAGAATGTCACCCAGCTCTTTGCAATCCCCTCTCTCAGGAGCCTACCCCATTAGCCGAAGGCAATGCCCAGCCTCAAGTCAACCCCCAAATATCTTCCAATGTTTTTTTCAAACACAGCAGGCTTTGTGGTGTAAATCAGCAGAGGCATGGCTAATTGAGCTAGCTCTGACTTCACTCTTAGGTAAGCTACCATAGGGTGTGATGGGCTGTTCAGGCTCCATCTGCTGGAAAGAACCTTTCTGAGCAGGGACTTAACAACAGGGTCTGCTCTCATTGTATGGAGTGCCAAGGAACTCGGCAATGGCGAGTGCAATGGGGCTGACAGAGGAGGGAGGAAAATCTATTAAAAGGAAGAGGCTAGAACAACCAGGCCTAGTGTGGAGAGCAGATGTTTCCTCGGTCCAGAGAATGGAGGTAAGGTTAGCTAGAGGAAGCACTATTTTACCTTAAAAATAACTTGGACTATAGAAAACTGTTTTTATGCACTCTGGCTGCAAGAAGTCATTTGCTTCATATTTGACTTTACCACAGGAGGCTTTGTTTTCATTTCCAGAAGCTGAAAGTTGAATGTAGACCAGCCAGCTCCTGCTGGGGACTGACAGACAGCCTATTCTCTTCCACAAGGATCTATCGTCCTTGTGTTAGTTTTTCCCCTATCCACTGGGTTGTTAGTATTAATAGAAAAGTTTGGAATGTACTAAAATGAGTCTTAGACATGGAAAATATTGTGCATCTATAGCTGATGAGACTTAAAAGCATGCCTTATGTTGCAGATGATCCTGGCTTTAAACCTGATCCCTTACTTGTTGCGTGTTCTGTGTAATTCCTCAGGCAACACAGAGCAGAGCTCTTCATTGCAGGGCTGGTATGAAAGACTAGAGGCTACAGTTATCTAGGACTTGGAATGCAATGGGGAGAGGAAAACAAATCTTTCCAGAGATTTACAGATCTAAATATTGTTTCTAGATGGAAAGTTTAGCCAGAGGAACAAATTTACCTTCAACTGTGAAGCCACAGATGATGTCTAGATATGTTCCTAAATGTTGCACCTCTGGCAATGTGGTGGCTTCTTTAAACTTGACACCATCATGTAACAACCCATTCTATTCTGATGTAGTTCTTAGTTCTGTTATTCTTTATAGGTTCAGCACTTGCATGATAATGACCTGGGTGTTTGGGAATTCTTGCAGTGGTAGGAGGGCAAAAATGGAGATTTGTCCCAGTTTCAAGCAAGGGCCAGTTACACTACAATTGTGGTGTTGCCTGGCTACACTAGTTTGCATGAGTGCAGCTATGGCGGTTGAAATAATCAGTACTGACAAGGCCTTAGCTAGGTAATTCAGTGCAGTACAAGCCTGCATGGAGGGTAGGAGAAGGGATGAAACATAATAAAAAAAAAAGGGGGACATTGCTATAACCATGAGATGGTGCTTCTTTGAAGGATTCTCCACTACTATCATTCTAATCTTCCAACTGTCCAAACAAAGACCTAGCTAAGTACTTCTGTCCAACAAACTAGAATCCTCTCTCACAACAGAGAAAAGTGAGCAGACTAAGAGGAAAAAAAATGAACCTAAGTCTAGAAGCCAGAAATTGTGAAGTGTTTGGGATGATTTATAAAATCAATGGAATCATGATATCTGAGCCCCCAGCAGGAGTACAAAACAGTGAAGGAATGTGCTATAGCAGTTAGGCTAAAAAGGCTGTAATGCTCCAAAGATAATCAGAAAAAGCTTTCCTGACACAAGCCTCTGATTCAAAGACTCTTGTGGTGGTATAGAATAAAATGAACAACAATGGTAAAGCTTTTAACTGGAATGACAAATCAAGAATTAGTTCTGCCGTAACCAGCTGACGCTAACATCATACTTAGTTTATCTGGAATTCTTAGACAAATATTCCACAACTTTGTCACAGGACAGTCACATGACTTAAAGTACACTTTTTCCTAGTAACACTCTTTCTGACCTTATTCTTCACTGGGTAATTACTGTGAACATATGTGATATCGGAAAAATACAGAATATGCCAAAGGAGGGGGGCAAATCCCCTAGGAGCCCGTTTTTAAAGAAAAACAAAACTAGTCTTGTTTTTTAAGTACTATCGCTAACTAGAAAGTGAGCTGCAAGCAAAACCAAACTTAATTGCACTTTATATATGATGAAGAA